GACAGAGGAGGAGTTGGGGATGGAGGAGGGTAATTAGCTATTGAGCAATGCGAAAACTGCTGATAATACTGAGGGAGCTTATACATGAATGCTTAGATAGGTGTCGTATTCCTATAGGTTGATGGGGATCAGCTGAAGGTCAGCTGATGCGAGCTTGACTAACGTGACCTGCCAGAACTAATGCTACGCTTGAGAGAGATATATATATATATATATATAAAACATTATTTCAATTAATGAAAACTGTTTTTTAGTAGTTGTATTAGTTAACAACAACAAAACTGAAATAACACATAAAATGGAAATACAGAAATATGTAGTGACTAAAACATGTTAAACAAATCAATACTTATAAAAATCTAAATCTAAAAAAAAAATCTAAACTTATATTTTATCTTAATTTCATGTAATTGCATAAAATATGGACACAATTTATATTAATCTAGTAATTTAAGCAGAAACCTGTAGATCAAAAGGTTTTGAAGATCATGAAAAATATAAATTCAGACAAATATGTCTGATTTCTGAAGAACAGTATATACAATATTCTTATATATTTTATCTATCTATCTATCTATCTATCTATATATATATATATATATATCAGTCCAACATTCCCTATCAGTACCTTGAAGAACTCAATCCAGAGGAGCATCCTAACTGTCTCTCTGTTTGTCTCAGGTCAATAAGACGTTTCAGGAGCTCGGTGTGCTCAGGGACCTCGGCGGCATGTGGGAAGAGATGAGACCCAAAATCTGGAACTTCATGGAGAACAGTGAGGAGATGGACCTCGTTCGGGTGCGTCTCACACACACACACACACACACCTGTCTGAACACAGATAACATTCCTGAAACAAAAGATACTGTTCCATGACTGTGCTGCGAAAAGCTCCAATGGTGAACTTCACACTGCCACCTTTTGGACAAAAGCCATACTGCATTTTAACCTCACTACTGAACTCACATGGCACACAACATGTGGCGCTCTGCAGGAAGCACACTTATTACTGAAGATCTTCATATCCTTGGAGAATTCTGGGGACCTATTTGTAGCTAAACGAATGAAAAAGTGTTACGAACGTTAGGTGTTTTGTTGTCATAAGCACAAATGCTTAACTTGCTGTCACATTGCTATGTGCATGACTTTCATGCAAGGTCGTGCAGAAAAATTAAGTAAGCAAGCAAGTAAATAAGTAATTAAGTAAATAAATAAATAGAAATTAGATTTAAACAAATATAAATTGGATTCATTTTTATTAAAGTGTTATTAATTTAATTATTGATGCACTAATTTACAGTACCGTACAATAGCCTAATTAAATGCAATATAATAAATATGTAATAAATATAATAAGACTTTAATTACCTTAAAAATATTGTCCAAATATTTTAGATATCTTTATAATATTACCTTTTCACAGCATAAAGTATGCTTAAAAGTGTGTGATAAAAATGTTTTCAAATTATGAAAAAATTTTAATATTTATTTTTTTGTTTACATTTACTTTTACATTTGCATTAATTTATAGTACCGTAAATAAAAAAACAAAATTAGATTAAAATATATATTTAAATAAATAATGCATCTAACAGTATAGCACAATAATAAGTATGGAAATTTTTAATAATTTAACTTAATATAAAATAAGTATTTTCCAAATAATATTTTAGACATCTTTTTAATATTACTTTTCACAGTGTAAAGTATACATGTATAAATGTGTAAAAAAAATAGTTTTTACATTTCGTTTTTTGTCTACATATATTGATGCACTAATTTATACTACCAGAAGCCATTTGTCTTGTATGGCTATTAGCTACATGATATTTCAGTAATTAATTGAATTTCTCCTATTTCTCCTAAACAGACGCTCCTCCAGAACAACGCTAGCGCTCGCTTCTTTAACGCCAAGCTAAGCGGGACGAACTGGAGCGTGGAGGACGTGTCCAGCTTTCTGTCCAAGGCTTCAGAGGACACACGTCCCCATGGTTCAGCGTACACATGGCGGGAAGCGTTCAACGAGACGGATCAGGCCATCCAGACCATCTCACGGTTCATGGAGGTACGCATGTATACACACTCGTCTTCACAAACACAAAGATCAGATCTGTCTGGCTTCTTCATTAGAATTGACTTGACTGATAATGTCAGTGACTATGTGGGCATCGCTGCTAATCAATCAAATGGATCTAGAAAAACTGAATCTGTGTTTTCAGTTCATGCCTTACTTTTCTGGGTCAGTGTGTTGCTCTGTCGGATGAAGAAACAGTTCTCAGTTCTCCACTGAATTACACTGACAAATCAATTATGCTGCAACCCACCGAAGCAGGTCAAGCCAGTCCAAAGTTAGCCGAACTGACTGATTATTTCATTAAATACTCGTGTAAACTGGCCCTGATTTTTTTGATTGGCAGAATTGCATCATTCGGTCAGCCTGACCCCGACTTCTTTCCGATAAACTGTTTATTTTCATTCTCCCCTGAAGTGTGTGAACTTGGATAAGCTGGAGCCGGTGGCTAACGAGGAGCGTTTGGTAAACAAGTCCATGCGTCTGCTGGATGACCGCAAGTTTTGGGCTGGGATAGTGTTTCCTGACATGCAGGCCAACACGTCTGACCTGCCGCCCAACGTCAACTACAAGATCCGCATGGACATTGATAACGTGGAGCGCACCAACAAGATCAAGGACGGGTAGGAGACATGCGTTTCTGATTATAGAGAAAATGAACGGGATTTTAACTGTCTTTGAGAGCTGATGGTTGTGTTTCGCTGTAGGTATTGGGATCCCGGTCCTCGAGCAGACCCGTTTGAAGACCTGCGGTACATCTGGGGCGGCTTCTCCTACCTGCAGGACGTGATTGAACACGGGATCATACGAGCTCTGACCGGCAGCAAGGAGAAAACGGGGGTTTACATCCAGCAGATGCCTTATCCATGCTATGTGGACGACATGTAAGAAACGGCATTCTTCAGCCTTTAAATTGAGCTTTAAATGAGCTCTGAAACTCGGGTTTCGTTCACAGTTTCATGCAAAAACAAATCAGTAACAATTAGGCTCTCTGCTGCACTGCTGTCTTGAAAGGGTTTTCAAAGGGTCTTAGATGCCACAGGTCTTCATGCAAGAGAGTGACCCCCATCCTAATATCCTCAAAAGGCAGCTGTATTTATTCATGTATATTTCAATTTAAAATGTGAACAATTATAAATATGTGTAAAGTGTGATTTTAGTTTTATTTAATTTAGTTTTATTTTTTCTACTCTACTTTCTACTTTATTTATTTATTTCATTACAAATTATTTTTATTTATTTAAAATCTAATTTGTATCGTTTATTTATTATTTATCTTAATCAAATTGCTGTTATTTGCTTATTTCAATTTAAAATTGTATGTTTTTAATTAATTTTACTTTAATATTTTTAATTTAGTTTAATTCTACTTTTATTTTTTGTTTGTTTGTTTGTTTATTTAAAAAGTATTTATATTTATTTAAATCTAATTTGTATTGTTTGTTTATTTTTTATTCTAATCAAATTGCTGTTATTGTTTATTTCATTTTTTTATCCATTTTTAATTAATTTGACTTTCATCTATTTAACGTACTTTCATTTTACTTTTATTTATTTGTTTAAATCTAAATATGTATATTTTTATTCTCTTTACTGTAAAATGTATTTATTTATTTCAATTTAATTAATTCTTTATTTATTTTAATCTATTTTGAAAATTATTTTTTTAATTATTTATTTATTTTAATCTATTTTGAAAATTCTTTTTAAAATTATTTATTTATTTATTTTTCCACATTGTTTTTATCTAAACATTTCCCTATTATTCCCTCACAGACCCTAGTTTGAAAACCCCTCTAATGCATTTAAAGTCAGCTGCCCACTAAGTTATCTCATACCAACTGAAGTAAAACCTCAAAAGTGACCAATCTGGTGTGCTATACATTTGATTTCAGTAGAGTTAGGATGTTGCCAAGCTAAGAATGTGATATTATAATAAGCATAAAAACACAAATGTTGGGTATAACTGCCAATTATTAACTACACTGGGCTTGTTTCAGTGCATTATGAGATTAAGAGATGCACATGATGCTGCTTTTGCCCTAAACTGTATCTTAGCAGATATCATTTGAAACAGACGTGCTCCTGCGTGTTTTATCAGCACCATTGATTATCTTCATGCTGAAGGTGTAACCCATCCTGTCTGCTCTGCCCTAGTTTCCTGCGGGTAATGAGCCGCTCCATGCCTCTGTTCATGACTCTGGCCTGGATGTACTCGGTGGCCATCATCATCAAGGGTGTGGTGTACGAGAAGGAAGCCCGGCTCAAGGAGACCATGAGGATTATGGGTCTGGATAATGGTATATTGTGGCTGAGCTGGTTCATCAGTAGCCTGATCCCACTGCTCATCAGCGCCGCCCTGCTGGTGCTCATCCTGAAGGTGCGTATTGTCAAAGACTGATAGAAAAATATAACCCTAACAACTATTTAACTTGATTTTGTTTGTCATGTTTGCTCAGATGGGGAATCTGCTGCCGTACAGTGATCCTGGTGTAGTCTACTTGTTCCTGGCCTCGTTTGCGGTCGTGACCATCATGCAGTGTTTCTTGATCAGCACGCTCTTCTCCCGCGCTAACCTCGCCGCGGCCTGCGGGGGCATCATATACTTCACTCTCTACCTTCCCTATGTGCTGTGCGTGGCCTGGCAGGATTACGTCGGCTTTGGAGCCAAAGTAGTAGTGGTGAGTGAATTTTATTTCTTAAATGTCATCTGCTTTGCCTTTTGCAATACCCAGCGCCATGGGTTTTCAATATTTTAGATGCTGCGGACCCCCAAATATAATCATTCTCATGCGAGCCATCTATATAGTTTGTTTAGTGTTATAAAGACCCAGTTTATACTGTGAAAAAAATTATATTGTAAGATGTTTAAATGACTGTAGATGTATTTATTGATTTATTTATTTTAATCAAATATTTATTTATTTATTTTTAGCTATTTATTTAAATTTGAATTATTATATATTTTTATTTTAAACATTTATTTATTTTGAACATATTTTTTATGCATTTATTTTTAACTAATATTTATTTATTGCATATTTATTGTAATCTGTTTATTTATTTAATTTATTATTTTAATTACATTTTTTATTATTATCTATTATTGCTTTATTTTAATCTCATTTTTATCAATATGCTTATTTTAATTACATTTTAATTTAATTATTTTAGCGTTTATTTACTTACTTTTTTATTATTATTAACAATTGTATTAAAATTCTATACACATTTTATTTAGTTATTTTAATCAAATATTTTTTTTGTTTAGTTTTTATACATTTATTATCACATTTTTATTGATTTATTTTAATCTATTTTGTTGTTAATTTTTATTATTGTAATCAATTTTTATTTTATCCTTTTTTTTTGTTTAATCCAGTTTTTATGCATTTATTTATTATAATCATTGTTTTAGTTTAATCTAATTTGTATGCATTTATCAATTATAATCAAATTTTTTATTTATTTCAATTTATTTAATTGTTTATTTTTATTATTTTAATCAATTTCTATTATTTATTTTCATCGTATTTTTTATTATTCATTCCTTATTACATTTTCTACACCCCTGACCTTTGCTGTTTATGTCCCGTCATGTATTGAACGCCTCTGTCTCTCTTTCCTCAGAGCCTCTTGTCTCCGGTGGCGTTCGGCTTCGGCTGCGAGTACTTTGCTCTGTTCGAGGAGCAGGGTGTGGGCATCCAGTGGAGTAACCTGCTCTCCAGCCCCATGCAGGAGGACAGCTACAGCCTCACCACATCCATCTCGCTCATGCTCTTCGATTCGGTGCTCTACGCCGTCATGACCTGGTACATTGAAGCTGTGTTTCCAGGTACGTGGCTTTTTGAAGAGATGTACTTTCAAGACATTGACAGCTTGGGTAAGTTTCTGATGGTCTAAAAACGTCACTCCGACAGGTCAGTACGGCATCCCACGACCCTGGTACTTCCCCTTCACCAAGTCATACTGGTGTGGAGAGAAATGTGGTGGGATTACATCAGCACCGACCAACAAGAAAGAAAATGCTGAAGGTAGAGAAATGAAACCAAAAATCTAACCAAAATCTAATATTTATATATGTCTTAATTTCCCAGAATGCTCTAGTTTTCAGGATGGAGCCAAACAAAAATGGTCGACATGAAAAATCTAAATATTGCATGCAAAGACTCTAGCTGTTTACTCTCTGTTTTCTAGCTGTATGCATTGAAGAAGAACCGGCTCATCTGGATCCAGGTGTTTACATCGAGAACCTGGTGAAGGTCTACAGCAATGGCAAACTAGCAGTGGACGGTTTGACTCTGGGTTTTTATGAGGGTCAGATCACCTCCTTCCTGGGTCACAACGGTGCTGGGAAAACCACAACTATGTACGACAGCTCGGATCCTTTTATATCTGATGTTAATACTGTGATGATGTAAATAAGATAAGCTCAATATTTCTTGCTTTCTTAGGTCTATCCTCACTGGCCTGTTTCCACCCACCTCCGGCACTGCTTACATCCAGGGCAAAGACATCCGCACCGATCTGAACACTATACGCCAAAACCTGGGCGTCTGTCCGCAGCATAACGTCCTGTTTAGCATGTACGTTACACCAAAAGCAGATTTGTGACACTGGACCACAAAACCAGTCATAAGGGTCAATTTTTCGAAATTGAGATTTATACATCATCTGAAAGCTGAATAAATAAGCGTTCCATTAATTTATGGTTTGTTAGGATAGGACAATATTATTCTGAGATACAACTATTTGAAAATCTGGAATCTGAGGGTGCAAAAAAAAATCCAAATTCTGTCCAAATGAAGTTCTTTGCAATGCATATTACTAATCAAAAATGAAGTTTTAATATATTTACAATAGGAAATTTACAAAATATATTCATGGAACATGATCTTTACTTAATATCCTAATGATTTTTGGCTTAAAAGAAAAATCAATAATTTTGACCCATACTATGTATTTTTGGCTATTGCTACAAATATACCCCAGCGACTTAAGACTGGTTTTGTGCTCCAGGGTCACATTTTAGTAGCTCAGTTTTTTGTATGCAACACAAAATAATGATAAATGATAAATAATAAGCAGCTTTAAAGTTCTTGTTGATGTGTTTCAGGCTCACCGTGGAGGAGCACATCTGGTTTTATGCACGTCTGAAGGGTTTGCCTGAGGAGAAGGTGAAGTCGGAGATGGAGCAGATCGTGATGGACCTCGGCCTGCCTCATAAACGCAAATCTCGCACCAACCAGCTCTCAGGTACGGAAAGTACACTGTGTAACGGCAGAGATTTAGCTGTACCTTTTATAAGAGTTTTTCTATTTGAATATGTTGTAAAATCTAATTTATTCCTGTGATCAAAGCTGAATTTTCTGCATCATTACTCCGGTCTTCAGTGTGACAGGATCCTTCAGAAATCAATTTCATATGCTGATTTACTGCTTAAGGCTTAAGAAGTATTAATAGCAATGTTGAAAACAGTTGTGCTGCAGTGATAAATTTTTTCCCCCCCTGGGTCCTGGGTTAGATATAAAAAGTTCACAAGAGCAGCATTTATTTGAAGCCGAAATCTTTTGTAACATTGTAAATGTCTTTACTGTCACTTTTGATCAATTTAATGTATCCTTGCTGAATAAAATTAATATTTATAAAACGGATAGTTCCGGTCCTTGATTCTGATTAGTTGAGCCACGTTCAAAGCTGCAGTCATTCTAGGAGGAATGCAGAGGAAGTTATCAGTAGCGCTGGCGTTTGTTGGAGGGTCAAAGGTCGTAAAGGTCGTGGAGCCCACAGCTGGAGTCGATCCTTACGCTCGCCGGGGCATCTGGGACCTGCTGCTCAAGTATCGTCAAGGTAAGCAGATTCTGTTTTAGCGAGCACCGTCGTGTTGGTCTTCCTGAAACGTCCATTAAACTGTATGGTTTTACCTCTAGGACGCACCATCATCCTGTCCACCCACCACATGGACGAAGCTGATATCCTGGGGGATCGCATTGCTATCATCTCCCACGGGAAGCTGTGCTGTGTGGGCTCCTCTCTGTTCCTCAAGACCCAGCTGGGGACGGGATACTACCTGACGCTGGTGAAGAAGGACTTCGATCTCTCGGTCAGCTCCTGCCGCACCTCCAGCAGCACCGTCTCCTATTCCAAAGCAAGCCTCAAGAAGGTACGCATGTTTAATATGTAGTTTGGCTGTAAGGGAATCTCCATATTTATGTTATGGCGCTTTTCCACTGCGTGGTACGACTCGGCTCGGTACGGCTCAGTACGGCACGGCATGGTTCGGCTCGGCACGGTTTGCGTTTCCACTGCAGTTCAGTACCGCTTTAGAGTGGGCGGGATTATTAACATGTCATTATAGTTGTGCCGCCTCTACTACCACGACTCCTAAAAAAAACTTTTTCATTCCGCATCGCCCCATCAAGCTCTCGCTGGATCCGCTCCTCTGCTATCAACGAGAGGAACGTCTGTACTTCCGCAACAGACAACAAAACTTTTTGGTTGTTAAAAAAAGGTGCGCTCGTTCAAAACAGTTGCGTTCGATCCTTCGCTGGCTGTGCTGATTTAAATCTAGCAGTTCTTTTGTTTTTGTGTCGCAAGTTCAGTGATGCAGGTAGAGACGATTCTCTCTGGCCAATCCGTGATCAGCAGAGTTTACACGTCACGTTTTGGTAACGGTACGGTTCACTTGGAACCCCAACCGAGGTGGTACTAAAAAAAGTACCAGGTACCAGGTACTGTACCCAGTGGAAAACCCCCAAAAAAGAGACACAACATCAAGGGTGTCCAGTCCTGTTCCTGGAAGGCCACTGTCCTGCAGAGTTTACTACCAATCCCCAATAAACACACATGAACAAGCTAATCAAGGTCTTCAGCACTATTAGAAACTTCCAGGCAGGTGTGTTGGGATACGTTCGAACTAACTAAGACTCTTCAAGTCCAAGTCCAAATCCAGTCCCAATTTAAAGAAGAGCCCTGAGCTAGACTCTGCAGGATGTTGACCACCCCCTGCACTAGGTCATTTCAGGCATGCAGGTGTGAGAACTGGTTTAAAGTTAAGGGATAAATGGTGCTAGAACAGATTAAGCAACAAGGTAGAACGTCGCAGGAAGTTACACTGCCAAGTTGCAAGCTGCAGTATCATTAACTGTAGTGAGTATGGCCAATTATAGTAACAAACCCCACAAGTAGTGGTTCACCAGAAAGTGTGAAATGTGTGGTAAAAAAGTCCTGTTAAATGTTTTGGACGAAGTCCCAGGATCATGCCAGCTGAGAAGCACAAAACAAGCACAACAGAATGAAGTGATACCCATAGCTGCCGCAACGGCGGGGGCGCGCTGGGCTGGCATCATAGGGGAGGTCTGGGATGGTGTCCATGGGCTGGAAATGCTGTATGCATTGAAGAAGAACCGGCCCATCTGGATCCAGGTGTTTACATCGAGAACCTGGTGAAGGTCTACAGCAACGGCAAACTGGCAGTGGATGGTTTGACTCTGGGTTTTTATGAGGGTCAGATCACCTCCTTCCTGGGTCACAACGGTGCTGGGAAAACCACAACTATGTACGACAGCTCGGATCCTTGTATATCTGATGTTAATACTGTGATGATGTAAATAAGATAAGCTCAATATTTCTTGCTTTCTTAGGTCTATCCTCACTGGCCTGTTTCCACCCACCTCCGGCACTGCTTACATCCAGGGCAAAGACATCCGCACCGATCTGAACACTATACGCCAAAACCTGGGCGTCTGTCCGCAGCATAACGTCCTGTTTAGCATGTACGTTACACCAAAAGCAGATTTGTGACACTGGACCACAAAACCAGTCATAAGGGTCAATTTTTCGAAATTGAGATTTATACATCATCTGAAAGCTGAATAAATAAGCGTTCCATTAATTTATGGTTTGTTAGGATAGGACAATATTATTCTGAGATACAACTATTTGAAAATCTGGAATCTGAGGGTGCAAAAAAAAATCCAAATTCTGTCCAAATGAAGTTCTTTGCAATGCATATTACTAATCAAAAATGAAGTTTTAATATATTTACAATAGGAAATTTACAAAATATATTCATGGAACATGATCTTTACTTAATATCCTAATGATTTTTGGCTTAAAAGAAAAATCAATAATTTTGACCCATACTATGTATTTTTGGCTATTGCTACAAATATACCCCAGCGACTTAAGACTGGTTTTGTGCTCCAGGGTCACATTTTAGTAGCTCAGTTTTTTGTATGCAACACAAAATAATGATAAATGATAAATAATAAGCAGCTTTAAAGTTCTTGTTGATGTGTTTCAGGCTCACCGTGGAGGAGCACATCTGGTTTTATGCACGTCTGAAGGGTTTGCCTGAGGAGAAGGTGAAGTCGGAGATGGAGCAGATCGTGATGGACCTCGGCCTGCCTCATAAACGCAAATCTCGCACCAACCAGCTCTCAGGTACGGAAAGTACACTGTGTAACGGCAGAGATTTAGCTGTACCTTTTATAAGAGTTTTTCTATTTGAATATGTTGTAAAATCTAATTTATTCCTGTGATCAAAGCTGAATTTTCTGCATCATTACTCCGGTCTTCAGTGTGACAGGATCCTTCAGAAATCAATTTCATATGCTGATTTACTGCTTAAGAAGCATTTATTATTAATAGCAATGTTGAAAACAGTTGTGCTGCAGTGATAAATTTTTTCCCCCCCTGGGTTCTTTGATAGATATAAAAAGTTCACAAGAGCAGCATTTATTTGAAGCCGAAATCTTTTGTAACATTGTAAATGTCTTTACTGTCACTTTTGATCAATTTAATGTATCCTTGCTGAATAAAATTAATATTTATAAAACGGATAGTTCCGGTCCTTGATTCTGATTGGTTGAGCCACGTTCAAAGCTGTTGTAAATTACTCTACAAACATACACCTTTGTTTACTTCTGTGTGTTGCTCGGCAACCACTTTGTTGGAGCCACAACTGATTCTGAGGAACTACATTGTTTAGTGGAAGAATACTGTTTTTATTAATATCATTACACTTTATTTGCTCCGTTTTATTCTGTGAAACCTTACTACGCATAACCGTTTTATAAAAGCAATAAGCCCCATGAAGCCGTGGTTTACAGTGAATTTATAACAGCTAAGGGGGTTTTCGCGTCGTGCCTAACAATGCCCCTTAGCTGTTATAAATTCACCTTAAACCACGGCTTCACTGGGCTTATTGCTTTAGCACAGTAGCGTATGATTTGTTTTTTTTGTTGAATTTCCAGCAAAAAAATAACTGTATTGTGGTATAAAAATACTCATATACTGTGACTAGGATGAAACAGTAACGGAACTAAGTGTTATGGTCCTTATAGGAGGAATGCAGAGGAAGTTATCAGTAGCGCTGGCGTTTGTTGGAGGGTCAAAGGTCGTGATCCTGGATGAGCCCACAGCTGGAGTCGATCCTTACGCTCGCCGGGGCATCTGGGACCTGCTGCTCAAGTATCGCCAAGGTAGGCAGATTCTGTTTTAGCAAACACTGTCGTGTTGATCTTCCTGAAACGTCCATGAAGTCGTGTGGTTTTACCTTCAGGACACACCATCATCCTGTCCACCCACCACATGGACGAAGCCGATATCCTGGGGGATCGCATTGCCATCATCTCCCACGGGAAGCTGTGCTGTGTGGGCTCCTCTCTGTTCCTCAAGACCCAGCTGGGAACGGGATATTACCTGACGCTGGTGAAGAAGGACTTCGATCTCTCGGTCAGCTCCTGCCGCACCTCCAGCAGCACCGTCTCCTATTCCAAAGCAAGCCTCAAGAAGGTACGCATGTTTAATATGTAGTTTGGCTGTAAGGGAATCTCCATATTTATGTTATGGCGCTTTTCCACTGCGTGGTACGACTCGGCTCGGTACGGCTCAGTACGGCACGGCATGGTTCGGCTCGGCACGGTTTGCGTTTCCACTGCATTTCAGTACCGCTTTAGAGTGGGCGGGATTATTCACATGTCGTTATAGTTGCGCCGCCTCTTACTACCACGAGTGGGCGGGATTATTCACATGTCATTATAGTTGCGCCGCCTCTACTGCCGCGACTCCTAAAAAACTTTTTCATTCCGCGTCGCCCCATCAAGCTCTCGCTGGATCCGCTCCTCTGCTATCAACGAGAGGAACGTCTGTACTTCCGCAACAGACAACAAAACTTTTTGGTTGTTAAAAAAAGGTGCGCTCGTTCAAAACAGTTGCGTTCGATCCTTCGCTGGCTGTGCTGATTTAAATCTAGCAGTTCTTTTGTTTTTGTGTCGCAAGTTCAGTGATGCAGGTAGAGACGATTCTCTCTGGCCAATCCGTGATCAGCAGAGTTTACACGTCACGTTTTGGTAACGGTACGGTTCACTTGGAACCCCAACCGAAGTGGTACTAAAAAAAGTACCAGGTACCAGGTACTGTACCCAGTGGAAAACCCCCCAAAAGTGAACCGTACCGAGCCGTACCGTGCCGTACCATGCAGTGGAAAAGCGCCATTACTGACCCTAAAGTTTTCTTGGTGCCATATTTTGTGATTTTCATTGTCCTGCAGGAGGACAGTGTATCTGAGAGCAGCTCTGATGCTGGACTGGGCAGCGACCATGAAAGTGAAACCACCACCATAGGTATATAGCTGGGTTATTATCGTTAACTAAAACTATTCTACTATATCGTTAATTAAACTAAAGCTGAACTAAAATATATACATGTAAAATACATAGAAATGTTACATGGAAAACTGAAACTAAACTAAACTGAACTAACCGAATCACTAAAGTTACTAACTGAAATAAAAAAAATTAAACTGAAATAAAAATAAATATTAAATGGAAAACTAAAATTAGAAATGTTGATGAAAAAGTAACTGAAATAAGTTTAAGCTCAATCACTGTACTTGCTAACTAAAATAAAACTGAACTAATACTAAAACTAAAAGTGAAATAAAGAAAAATTAAAACTAAAAATTAAATGTAAAACTAAAAAATTTAAAATGTTGCATTGGCAGCTAACTGAAATGAGGTTAAGCTGAAGCACTAAAATTACTAACTAAAATAAATAACTAAAACTAAAAACGGAAGTAAGATAAATGAAAACGAAATATTAGATAGACAAAAATTATAAATCTTACCTAGAAATAAAAATAATTGTAACTAAATAATAATATTTGACAGTGTTGTCAAACGATTAATCGCGATTAATCGCATCCAAAATAAACGTTTTTGTTTACATAATATATGTGTGTGTACTGTGTATATTTATTTTGTATATATAAATACACACACATGCATGTATATATTTCAGAAAAAAATTTGTTTATATATTAAATATATTTATTTAGAATATAAATTATATGAATATAAATATAGACGTGTAAATACATGTAAATATTTTCAAAATACTGTTTGTGTGTGTATTTATATATACATAATAAACATACACAGAACACACACATATATTATGCAAAGAAAAACGTTTATTTTGGATGCGATTAATCGCGATTAATCATTTGACAGCACTAATATTTAATAAAAAAAATAAAAAAAAATATAAAAATGACTGGAAATGAATCTAAAATTAAATTGAAAACTAAAAATATAAAAATCTAAATCTAATTAAAAATATGAATAAAAATTAAAACACTATAAATAATACTAAAATAACACTGATGTATAGAGTTAATAAACTCTTAAAGGGATAGTTCATCCAAAAATGATTATTTACTCACCCTCATATTATTCCAAACCCATTGGTTTTGGAGCAAAACTCTAGTCCTACACGCATTTTGAATGTTTTCTCAACTCTTTCCATATTATAGACATCTCCTTGATCTCCAATGTGATTTTCAAGCACGTTCCTACAGCCCGACTGGTCGAAGATCTCGGGCACGAGATCACTTACGTTCTGCCTTATGAGTCGGCCAAAGACGGAGCGTTTGTGGAACTCTTCCATGAGATCGACGACCGGCTCACTGACCTCGGCATTTCAAGTTACGGCATCTCTGACACAACCCTGGAGGAGGTAACGAAGCATTGAAAACATTTCAAATCTCTTTAGTTCATTCAGTTCGTTTCATGCAAGAATGTGAATATAATTGGCTTGTATTTGATTATTTTGAGCAGATTTTCCTCAAAGTGGCAGAGGACAACGGTGTTGATGCTGAGATGTCAGGTAAAGCCGAACACATTTTACTTTCACTGTTGTCAATGCTTTATGTAAACATTTAGCAATAGTGTCTCTGGAAACACATGACTTACTCCCGTTGTGTCGTGAATTAGATGGGATTATATCTGCACGCAGGAACCGCAGACACGCTTTTGGTGACCATCAGAGCTGCCTGAAGCCTTTCACTGAAGACGACTTTGATTTCAATGACTCAGAAGGAGATCCAGGTAGTTACTTTACCCATCCTTCATCCATCCCACTTACTTTAAACATATTTTGAAATCTGAACCATCATCTAATGTGTTGAAGTTTGATGTCAGTTCATATGTGGTCTAGAGCATGGCCAGTATTTTCATTTAGATTTTTTTTTTTTTATCATTTGAGTCAGTGTTATTTTACACTATTGTAGTGTTTGAAATTGTAAATTTTTTGCATTTTTATTTTTATAGTTACTTTTATGCTTTTTCATAAAATTTTAGTTAATGTTTTAGTAATTTTGTTATTTGTTTTTGTTGTTTTTATTAGGTTTTTTATTTGTAATGTTTATTTTTTCATGTCAGAGTGAAATTAATAACTAAATTTAGAAATATTGCCTTGGCAAATAACTAAAATAAAGTAATTTTTATATTTCATTTTATTGCAGTTAATGTTTATTTTATATCAATTAGTGTACTTTTTTTTTGTTATATTTCTTTTTTAGTTAATGATAACAGTAATGATTTGAATGCGCTTTTGTAAGTAATTTTTTTAAATGTTGTTTATTTTTTGGAATTCTTTTTATTTCTGTGATTCACTTCAAACTGTCTGTTTTAGTTAATCAGTTTGAAAGTGATTCATTTGTTCATTTTATTGCTATGTATTCTTATTTTGGTGCATGTGATTTCATATGACTGAAAATCTATTATTATTCCTTTTGCTTATTTACTGGAAGATATGGCATTTGGTCATTATTATTATTATTATTATTATTATTAAACTGTTTGTGGGTTGATGTGCACCTGCAGAATCTCGTGAGACAGACTGGTTGGGTGGCGCTGATGGTAAAGGTTCGTACCAGGTGAAGGGCTGGAGTCTGAAGAGACAGCAGTTTGTAGCTTTGCTCTGGAAACGCTTCTTGTACGCCCGACGTTCCCGGAAAGGTTTCTTTGCTCAGGTATGGTCTTCATACAATATTCTGTATTGTCTGTTTGCAGATCCATAAATGTAATATACTTCAAAACGCATCTTTCCAGATTGTGCTTCCCGCTGTGTTCGTGTGCATCGCTCTGGTCTTCAGCCTCATTGTCCCTCCCTTCGGAAAATATCCCAGTCTCGCTCTGGAGCCCAGCATGTATGAGGAGCAGTTCTCCTTCATCAGGTATATGCTACCATCCACACACTTGCGTGTGCGCTTTAATTCCCATGATTCTTTGAGAGCCTAATGACTGGTTTCTGACTACAGCAATGATGCACCAGAGGACAGACACACAAACAAGTTACTTGAAGCTCTGATGGACAATCCCGCTTACAGTGAACAATGCACAGACGAGCAAAACGCTGCGTGAGTCTTCAAACGTTTTTCCAATATTGATTTGTTGGAAATTAAAAATATTAATGAATACATTTGCATCTAGAAGATTCTTATATTTAATTGAGTCTTTATTTTAATTGACAATCAACTATGAAAATTCCTGTAATTAAAATCCCAGTCCTTTATTTCAATTATTTAGTTGTTATCAAAGATATATATTTATCAATTTTACAACATTTATCAATTATCAGAGATTATCTATATAGATTTGTATGAAAGCTGGTTTCTGCCACTGAATAAAAATAAAAAAGGTCCTTGCAACTCGCAATTGCGACGTTTTTTCGCCTCCGAATTTCAAGATATTTTCAAACTAGTAATTGTGCGTCAAGAAGTCAGTATTGCATGATATAAAGTCGCAATTGTGAGAAACAAATCAGAATTGCGAGTTTGTATGCAATTGCGAATTATGAAGTCAGAACTGTGAGATATAAACACACAATTTAAAAAAATATCAATATTGGACTTTAAAATTCGCAAATTGCATTTTTATCTCACAATTCTGAGAAAATAAGTCAGCATTGCGAGAAAAAAATTCAGAATTGCAAGATATAAACTACCGCAACTGTGAGTTTATATCCCACAGTTCTGACTTTATAACTCACAATTGTGTTTATATCATTCAATTGTGAGAAAAAAATCTGAATTGTGAGATGTTAACTCACAATTGAAAGAAAAAAGTCAGAATTGTGAGATAAAAGGTCACAGTTGCCTTTTTTTATTTGTTATTCAGTGGCAGAAATAGGCTTCCATAGATTTGAGTATCCAATAAGTTAAAAAAAATGTGGGGAATTAATTTTTTTTATTTGTATTTTTTGTGGAAAGTAGCAAATCATGTCCGATTAAAGATGGAGAGTGGATGGTTCCAGAGATTCCCGAGACCGTTCAGGACATATTCGTAAAAGGGAACTGGAGTATGGAAAACCCATCGCCTCTATGTGAGTGCAGCTGTGAAGGAAAGAAAAAGATGCTTCCCGAGTGTCCGCCAGGTGCAGGGGGTCTGCCACCGCCTCAGGTAGACATTTTCACCAAATACTGTGCTTCTTCAATAGCAATATTGCTTTATTATGTTTCAATGACAGTACAACGATCTCTTCTGATTTCCCTTAGGTCAAAGTCACCACTGATGAAACCTTGCAGAATCTGACAGGCAGAAACATTTCAGACTACTTGGTGAAAACATATGCACAGATTATTGGGAAAAGGTAAATTAAGCCAATCCAGAAGTAAAGGCTTGCTTGATGTTCCTGGTTTTCATTCTCCTCACAGTGCTTTAACTCTGTGTTGTGTTGTTTTGTCTGTCCAGCTTGAAGAACAAGCTCTGGGTCAACGAATTCAGGTAAACTTATCAGTGCAGATCTATTATGATGAGGAAAGTAATAATAATCCAGTGGAAGATTTGGGCCTCAAATCGGTTTCTCATTGGCTGTTTTGCAGGTATGGTGGATTCTCATTGGGTGCTAGAAGCTCTCAGGCCCTCCCCCCTGGTGATGAGGTCACCGATGCCATCTCTCACATTCGTAACCGCTTCAGTCTTCAAGCGGTATGTCACCTGTGTTAGGTTTATGACTGATGTTTAAACACCAGCTAGGGCTCATAAACTTGAAAGCAGTTGTTGCCCAATGTTTGGGATTTACCTGCTTTCAACCTGTTTTCATTGTGCAACCCACAGGGAACCGCAGCTGACCGCTTTCTGGGAAGCCTGTCAACTTTCATCCGAGGTCTCGATACCAAGAACAATGTGAAGGTGAGTACTGGCTAGATGTATTTGTCTGACCTTACAGACATAGATGTCATGTTTATCATGGTCATGATGAAAGCTTACACTCTTTTGATAAGTTGTCAAATAAAGACTTCACAAGACTTACAAGTGCTTGATTATGAAAACGTATCTTAGTGTGATTAATCCATCAATAGATTTCCTGGCAGAGTGTTAACACATTGTTAACAGTGTTAACACTATTTATAAACAGCTTTAGATACTGTCCAGTAGAAAATCGGCTTACCTTAAGGTGCCATTATATAAATTGTTTTTGTGAAGTATTGATATTTAAATAATAGAAATATATAAAGAACTACAAGTACATAAATAACTTGATAATAAAATAATATATATATATATACTGTATACACACACACACACACATTTTATATATACTGTATATATAATTATTTTTATGGTAAGTTATGTACTTGTAGTTCTTTAGATAATATAGATAGTTACAAATATTGATTTTATTTATATGTATGTGTATATATATATATATATATATATATATATAGACAGTTACAAATATTGATTTTATATATATATATACTGTATATATGTATGTATGTATACAATTGTTATTGTAAGTTGCATATGCACTAAATATACAATAAAGAACTACATAAATAATAAAATGTCAAAAATACATAAAAACTGCATGTGTAAAAATGCAAAAAGAAAATGCATGTATTCACAGGCCTTAATGTCTTTTATATGAAAGCATCTAAGAGGTGGAGGCTGTTAGAGACACAATGCAACCTTGTCAGTTGTGGCCAAAGTTAATCTATTTTTGTAGATGGACAGTCTAAAATGATGCCAAAACTCATAAACATTGCTGATTGCACAATGTCAAGGAGCTGTAAGGGCTTTTGTTGGTGTATAAGAGCGAGAAGAGTGACATGATTGTGTCCTATTGCAGATCTGGTTCAATAATAAGGGCTGGCACAGTATCGGAGCGTTCCTCAATGTCATGAACAATGCCGTCCTGCGTGCTAATCTGCCCCCCGGCCTGGATCGCTCCAAATTCGGCATTAAAGCGTTCAACCATCCACTCAACCTCACCAAAGAGCAGCTCTCACAGGTGGCGCTGTAAGTAACCAACAGCGCAGTTCATACTCCCCTCCATTTACACACACAGTCTTGATATCTCTGACCTTTGACCCCATCTGCTTCCCAGAATGACGACCTCAGTTGACGTGCTGGTGTCCATCTGCGTCATCTTCGCCATGTCTTTCGTCCCGGCCAGCTTTGTGGTGTTCCTCATCCAGGAGAGAGTGAATAAAGCCAAACACATGCAGTTCATCAGTGGAGTGCAGCCCTTCCTCTACTGGCTGGCCAACTTTGTGTGGGACATGGTGAGGATTTTGTAAAATGTTTTTACTCTTAAACGTATCAACATCTGTTCAAATGCTCTTTGACTGATTGCATGTTTGTCCTTCAGTGCAACTACATTGTCCCGGCGACTCTGGTCATCATCATCTTCGTCTGTTTCCAGCAAGAGGCCTATGTGTCCTCCACCAATCTTCCTGTTCTCGCCCTCCTGCTGTTGCTCTATGGGTAAGACGCAAAAGATCGGTCCAGTAGCCTTTACTATTTATCATACACTACTGTTCAAATGTTTGGGGTCAGTAAGTTTTTTTTTCTTTGGAAGAAATTAAGCAAGAATGCATTAAATTAATCAAAAGTGTCAGAAAAGACGTTTATAATGTTACAGATGATTTTCTTTTGAACTCTCCAGTCATCAAAAATCCTGAAAAAAAATGTAGCAAGGTTTCCACAAAAATTGATAGAAATGTTTCTTGAGCAGCAAATTAGTATATTAGAATGATTTCTGAAGGATCATGTGACACTGAAGACTGGAGTAATGATGCTGAAATTTCAGCTTTGATCACAGGAATAAATTACAGTTTAAAAATATTAAGATACAGTTATTTTAAATTGTAATAATATTTCACATTATTACTGTTTTTACTATATTTTTGATCAAACAAATGCAGTCTTGGTGAGCAGAAGAGACTTCTTTAGAAAACATTAAAAAATCATACAGACCCCAAACTTATATGTATGATATATGTATATGTATGTATACTATATGTATGATATATCTAAAAATATGTCACTAATATGAAAGCTTTGGCCATGTGCACTTCTTTGTGTCCATCTAGGTGGTCCATAACACCCCTGATGTACCCAGCGTCATTCTTCTTTAAGATTCCCAGTACAGCATATGTGGTTTTGACCAGTGTTAACATCCTCATTGGAATAAATGGCAGCGTATCCACGTTTGTCCTGGAGCTTTTCGGCAGCAATGTAAGTTCATATTTCTCAGCTGTGCTTGATTATATGTGTCACGTAATCCAATTCAAAAGAAGCCCTAAATGAACTGTGACTGTTTCTCCTCAATGCTTTTTTAGGAGATTGGTGGCATCAACGACATCTTGAAGAACGTGTTCCTGATCTTCCCTCACTTCTGTCTGGGCAGAGGACTCATTGACATGGTGAAGAACCAAGCTATGGCTGACGCTCTGGAGAGATTTGGTGTGTATCACTCTCACAAATACACTATTCAGTATAACTAACCAAACCTTTATTATTTGTTCGAATAATGTTCTTTTTAGAATGTTCATTTAGAATTTCCGCTCTAACCAAACAGATAGCTGAAAGTGTTTTTCCACCGATATTGTTTAAATGATTGCTGATGTTGATTTGGTTAGGGGCCCCGGGTCAAAGTGACATCTAGATGTGGACATAACATGTCCTGGATCATTTCCATGGAAATGCATTAGGACTGCAGCTGCTCAAACACGCTTTCCTCTGAACATAATCACATTCTAAGAAACACATCAAGGCCGTATGAAGCTGAATTTAGTTTGTAGACCTTGGCGTGTTTCCAAAACCTAGTGAGCTGCCTGTTTATCAAAAGCAGTTTTAACATTTATAAATAAAATTAATTCAATACCAAAAAATAATGATTAAAAAAGTTCAGTCTAATTAAACACTGACTGAAAACTGAACATTTTTTAACCCATATTTGTGTGTGCTGTGTATTTCTATACTTACTAGAGCATTGCATCGTTACTTCAGCAGCATGCATGCAACACATCATACTCTGTTTCTGCTTCTACTGACATGTTTGTGCATGTTTTCAGGCGAGAATCGCTTCCGCTCTCCTCTGGCGTGGGACATGGTGGGCAAGACTCTCTTTGCCATGGCCATAGAGGGTGTGATTTTCTTCTGCATCACCGTCCTTATCCAGTACCGTTTCTGCATCAAGGCCAGGTGATGTTACTTTCATACCTCACTGCAAAACAAGGGCATGCGAAACCGTTTTAAACATATGTAATGTTTTGGTATTAATATAGGCCGGTCAGCACTAAACTGAAGCCGATCGGAGAGGAGGATGAGGATGTGGCCAGAGAGAGGCAGAGGATCTTGTGCGGAGGAGGACAGACTGATATCCTGGAGCTCAAACAGCTCACCAAGGTCTGTGACACACACACATATTTATGTAAAAAAAAAAATATTTATAGCAGATTCCATCTACATTCTGATTCATTCATTATATGTATAATATTACATAAATAATAATAAAAAAGTTAATATGAATAAATTCTGTGTGCATATTAAATGATAAATACAAGTATAATTAAAATGTAGTTGTAATTATACATTTCAAAATTTATTATGTGCTTATTTTTATTAAAATGTTAATTATGAATTACGTAAATATTTAATTAATAAACAATATTTAGAAATTATAAAAGCTTCACTTTAGTGAATGCCAGAAACATGACCGATATATATATATATGTTTTTTTTTCAGTTATTTTTCTGACATTTACTAAGGTGGCTCAAGCCAGTTTTTGTCACACAGTAATTATTGCATCAGTGTTGTTGTTCAGTTCTATAATAACTAGTGCTGTCAAATGTTTAATCGCGATTAATCGCATCCAAAATAAAGGTTTTTGTTTGCATAATATATGTGTATACTGTGTATATTTATTATGTATATATAAATGCACACACATACAGTATGTATATTTGAAAATATTTCCATGTATATATTTATATTAATATAATTGATTATATATATACATATTTCAAATGCATAAGCATATCATATTTTTCTTAAATATATACATGCACATGTGCGTGTTTATATATACATAATAAATATACACAGTACACACACATATTATGTAAACAAAAACCTTTATTTTGGACGCGATTAATCGCGATTAATCGTTTGACAGCACTAATAATAATATTGCTGATTCTGCAGGTTTATAAGAGAAAGCAGAAGCCAGCTGTAGACAGACTGTGTGTGGGCATCCCACCAGGAGAGGTGAGATCATCTTCTTAGTAAATAAATAATAGCTTTTGTTTAGTTCAGCCTGGCGTTGTATGATTACCGATGCTGATCAGGGTTTTGATGATATAATGTTCTCTCATCAGTGTTTTGGGTTGCTCGGTGTGAACGGAGCTGGGAAGACGAGCACATTCAAGATGCTCACAGGAGATTCTGTTGTCACTAGCGGAGAGGCCTACTTGGCAGGAAAGAGGTGCATAAATTAAAACGGCATGCTACTGATTCAATTAATACTTTAAACACTGGGTTTTGTGGCTTTGAGGTTGTTAATATGCTAGTGTAATCCTAAAAACAATGCTCACATTGTGTTCCAGTATGAGCAGCACTTTTTGAAACAAAAATGTGTTTCATGACCTTTTTCATAATAGTACCACCAAACTCTTGGCTTGTTTTCTGCAGCGTGCTGACAGAGATCGATGAAGTGCATCAGAATATGGGCTACTGTCCACAGTTTGATGCCATCAACGACCTGCTGACTGGACGAGAACATCTGGAGTTTTACGCCATTCTGCGGGGCATCCCAGAGAAGGAAGTGTGCGAGGTCAGTTTTTAGCTGCTATTGAAAGGGAACGTCTGACTACTAATGTTGCAGCTGGTTATCGAGGGATCTGATTGGTTGTTTGTTGGTCGCAGGTGGCGGATTGGGGCATTCGTAAACTGGGCCTGATGAAATATGTAGACAAAGCCGCAGGAAGCTACAGCGGGGGAAACATGAGGAAGCTCTCCACCGCTATGGCGCTCATCGGAGGACCGCCAGTGGTGTTCTTGGTGAGTGTGCAACTAACTTTATGATCATTTGTTTAGCTAGTGCATCATAATCCAAAAATGCATCACAGGTTTGTAATGATTTGTTTGTAATGGAGAGCAGGGGAAAAGAAGGCTACATGTAAATAATAAAATGCAAATGCATAAAATGCTAAATAAAATACAAATGGAGATGCAACTATACAATCGTGCATAATTAGCAAAAGTATAGCAAAATAAAATAAAAAAATATAAAAGCTAAATATTATTGACATTTAAAAGGAAGGACAAATTATGCAGTTGTGCATAGATAGCAAAGTATAGCAAAATAAATAAAAGCTAAATAAAAAACTAAAAATAAAAGCTAAGTATTATCAACATTTTAAAGAAAGAAAACATTGCGCAATTTAGCATAGCTATCAAAGTATAGCAAAATAAATAAAAGCTAAATAAAATTAAAAAATAAAAAGAAACTAAATATTATCAACATTTAGAAGGAAGAAAATGAGCAATTTGGCACAGTTATCCAAGTATAGAAAAATAAATAAAAGCTAAATAAACAATAAATATTTTATGCCGACCACAATGTGTTTTGTGAGGTGAATTAGTGACTGCGAAGAGCATTAACCATCAAATTGGAGCAAAATCTGTGCGAAGTTTTTTCACTGAATTCAAAACAGACACAAAACCACCAAAAATTATGCTTTTTTTTACTCTACAAACCCCAAAAAACACTGCATACGGGTCTATATAGGTCATTTGCATTTCATGAAAAGATCTTATGTGCTGTTAAGTGCTGTTGTGTAACAGATTGGTCGTTGGGCAGACCTAGTTTTCCCAGAACAAAAGCCATACCCACACATTGCCACATTTTAGTACACCGTAAAGCGTTTAATTCCCAAGGAAGCGGGTTGCATTTAGCAGTTAAAGCGAGGCAGCGCGGCGCTCCAGTTTCCTGGCGGCCGTCGATCAGAGCGGAGGAACATGATCACGCTCTTCCTTCTCTTTATGGTGTTCTGCTTGTGTTTCCTTTGATAATAATCAGAAATGTTTCTTGAGCAGCAAATCAGCATATTAGACTGATTTCTGAAGGATCATGTGACACTGAAGACCGGAGTAACATAGGAGTAAATTACATTTTAAAATATATTACAATAGAAAATAGTTATTCTAATAATATTTCAATATTTTATAATAGTACTGTTATAATAAGCTAAAATAAATAAGCAAGTTATTTATTATTTATTTTAAATTGTAATAATATTTCAATAATTCATAATATTACTGTTGTTAGCAAAAAATATATAAGCAACAATTAAAATAAGGAGAAAATTAAACCAAAAAGCTACTATAAAATTAAGTTATTTTAAATTGTAATAATATTTCAATATTATTACTTATTATTATAATAAGCAAAAAATAAATGAGCAAATATTTCATTAAGCACAAAAATTAAGCAAAAAAAGCTATTATAAGATTGTTTGAAATTGTAATATTTTATAATATTACTGTTATAATAAGCAAAAAATTAAATGAGGCAAAAATTCAGTAAAAAAGCTATTATAAAATTAAGTTATTTTATTTCACAATAATACTGTTTCACTTTGTTTTATCAAATAAAGGCAGTCTTGGTGAACACAAGAAACTGCAATCAAAAACATTAAAACATCTTGCGAACTTTTGAACGTTAGTGTAAATTAAAAAACAAAAACAGAAGTTTGCTGAATAGCAAAAACTACAAATTTGCAGTAAAATACAAACAAAAACTAAATTGCAATTACAATTACCGCACTATAAAGGTAATAAGTTGTGACTCAGTCTGTTTGTCTGTTCATTTTAGGTATTTGTCAATTTTGCCAAGGACCAAAGTGACGAGGACCACTTAAAAGACATTTCCATTAACAAAAACGATGCCGTCGTGGACATTTCTCACCTGAACGCCTTCCTCATAGACGAGAAGGCCAAAGAGACGGTGGTGTGATCCGCCATTCGATGGATACAACAATCCACCTTCATGGGACTAGCGTGTCGTTTTTTTGTACTACTATTTAGTTTTTTGTTCAATTTTCAGCCGTGTGTGTTTGTGCCCACAAGAGGGCGCTGGACCTGAAACACACTACTGAAACAAACCATGCAAATCAATGCAAAAAAAAAAGATTGAAGAAAAATGAACGCCGATGACAGCGAGGCCGAGCCTGGTGCTCGTCGCTCCGTCGCGAGGAAACTTGAAGCTGTTCGCTCCACTAGCGGTGAATGTTTGATTGACAAGACGTCTGCGAAAATATCAGACACTGCCAATGCGATCTAACGTTAATTCAGGGCCGACGTTCATCTCCTCATTTAGCGCAGGCTTCAAACTGTGCATTTCAGCAACTACTCTTGGTCTTTGTACTTTACTTTTTTTAGATATGCATTTTAAAACTATACTCAAAAGATATTTTGATGCAACGACGTGCAATGTTTCACTATTGTTATTATTGTCAAAGTGTCGTGCCTTGAAACAACACTCCGCTAATGGACTCGAAGCATGGAGCACACACTGTCATCATAGCTACGGTGGTATTTAGGTCTACTGTGAAGACGGAGCGGACGACTTTAGAAGTTAATTGCATGCTTTTTACGTGGATGACGTGTTTAGGACTCCATCGTGAGCTCAAGCATGTCCCAGCTTTGTTATCCTGAAGTATTTCTGTGTGGATTTCAACAGGTGTTCGCTGATCTTGAGCCGAGTTTAGTGGGACTTCGTAGTTGTTTTTGTGTCCACAATGGGCCGAAGCGGAGGCGAGTTCATATTGTGTGAAACTGTACAGAAACAAATCATGTCCGTGCCAAACCAGGTCAAGTGGTTTTAAATCATAGCAAATGAGCGTAGTATCAAGCAAACACGTTGTCGGTGTTGGATATTATGGTAGTGGCTCTCAGCAGGCTGCTAAATGTTACATTTTTGTTGTTGTTTTCTACACCATGTGATTTGAAACAAGAGTTTCATCGTACAATAAGGCCTTGAGAGACAAAGAAATTACATTCATAGGCCTCTAGTACAGGAGTTAATATCTCAGGATGTGCCTCCTTATCCTAAAAGCTTAAGTTTAGTTTATTATACCACTTTTATGATCTCGACCAATAGCACCGCTGTTGTTCGCCTACAGCGCGAAGTGACCAAAAGCAATGAGGTGCTACTGATCGAGTTTATTTTTCAAATCCATGAGGTGCTTTTTAGTCAAACACCTTCAGAAATTAAGCAGCAATCCCTGCTGCACATTGAATGACGTGGAAGAAGACAAAAGTACTGTCTTTGGTCCAAAACTGAAGCACTTTATAATGTTAAACTGGTCTTGACATTCATAATTCACAAACAGGACATTTTGTGTTTAACAAAAGGTTAATAGACAATTTTAGATGTCCCACCGTGGCCATTATTTTCTGTGTTACAATGTATGTGTTTACATTTTAAATATTAAAAAGCTATTTCAGTCAGTCTTGTGTCCTTTTTCTGTTTTGCGAGTAGAAAAAAAAAAGAGAATTGCAATAAATAATGTTACTGAAATGTTAGTCAAAGACAAACTTTCTGGCGGTGTATTTGTAGGATATACGCACTTATTTTAATTAAATTAATAATATATAGACAGAAAAAAAATTAAAAATACTTGCAGGGTTGAGAAACATGCAAAAAATACAAACACTTTTAAATGGCTAAATGCATGTTTTCTTAAAGTAAATGTTGATAATTTCCACAAAGTGTACTTTTAATTGAAAGGCATAAACGGCATCACAATCATAAGCGTAGTTTATAAACTGATAGATTAATTGGTTGACTGATTGATCTAGAAAGAAAAAGTTGTTTCGGTCTGAACTAAGGTTAAATCACCTCCATTACATTCAACCGCAGGCTCTCTTTCCAAAACCCCGCCCTTTAAAGTCATGCCAGCCAATTACAGGTCAGTAACACCAGATGCACAATGTGATTGACCGGTAAATGTCTGATTAGCCAAAATCAGCGCAGGTCGCTCTCTTACTCTTATTTTTTCACATAAACAAAACTTATGGGCGTTATTTCAAAATCAGGTTTACATGTCAACATATATGTTATGTTAACATATGTTTCCGGTATTATAAGCGGTGTTAGACCTGTATTAATCACATTTTCCAAGTGTGAATGTGGCTCAGCGCTATTTCCAGTCGTTTGTCTCAACGGTAGAGACATGTAAGCTGTGTCTCATTTAGAAGGCTGCGCCCTCCGGAGGTCGCATTCGAAGGCTGCATACGTCATCGAGACTGTCTCATTTCAGAAAAGCAATTAGGACACTCGGAAAGCGACCTTCGAATGCGACCTTCTTTCACAGGAATTCGGAGGATGCATGAGGTGTATCCTTCGCTGCTACAGATAACCCACAATTCTTTGCGTCGCCGTAAACAACCGTTGTTAATTTGAAAAATGCCGGCGCCGGCAGATGTACACACTATGATGTACAATGTGGTATATTTACAACTTACTTTAAATCGCCTCGGTAAAAACGGATAAACTTTGTTTTTAATATCCTCCTCCTTTTTTTCTCTAACAGATGTCTGCTGTACGTACGCTGCAGCTCTTCAAACATTGAACAAAATAAAACAAGTAAAAGCATTTTTTTTTTCAAATTACTTTCCAAATTTAGAAATAATTTTCCTTCAAGTAGTGTGAGAGCGCAACGATGCTCTAAATGTGTTGGCATAGCAACGTGATACTTCCTGTTTCCTTTTCCGCCTGTCCTACGAAGGCCGTCTCGTTTAATTCTA